GTTTCAAATTGCACGAATTGGTTCGCAACTACGCAATCGTGCATTTTGAAACGCATGCACAGTTTCTTGCAGCACAAGGAACTACGTAGTAATTAATTGCGAAGGTGCTGCATCGGCGTTCCGCAAGGCGAAAACAGTGTCCGGGTTTCCCAGGCTCACCTTGGGAAAAAAATGACCTGTTTTCCCGGAGTGCGCCTGGGAAACCCCGACACTGTTTTCGCTGCGCGCAGAAGCGTCCACAGTGCGCCTGCCGTGCGGCTTGCGTTTGGCGAAAGTGATAGTGAGGCATTTTTTTTAAGAAGTCCGATCGTGGAACACGACCGATGCCGATTTCCTCCATTTTTTGGTCAAAGGTAGTCCTTGTGGGTCTAAGAAAGGCCACAAATTTTTTTGGCCGAAATATGCACCGTTCAGATTCTATGGGCAATTTTCGTTTTCTCTGACAACTTTTCACATAATATGGCCAAAATTGAAAAATCGCCTTTCTGAGGCCTCGAAGCACTCGATTGAGCTCTAAATGTGGTATCTTATGTAAAATCACGCGAGGAACATGAATCCGGTGCCCGTTTGTTGATAGGACAACCCAAACAGATGTTATGACTGTTTTTCAGGTTTTGTAGTGGTTTTTACTTTTCTTGGGGTTTTGGTGTTCGGCATCGATTTTCGCCAATCCGATGGGTGGATTTTATAGATAAAGGACCAATCTATCATACTACGAGATAAAAAGTTTGTGTACGCCGCGTGAAAAGCAGTGGCGCTGCAAAAATTGAAAAACCGTCATTTCTGGGTAGTTTTAGATCAGATAAGCCACCTTTCGCGTGACCGTCTCCGCCCCATATTCAGTCTAAATATTGTCCCAAGTGATGTCAGAGTTGGTGTGAAATTTCACCGCTGTAGCTCAAGTAGTTTGGAAATGGCAGCTTTCTAAAGTTTTGCAATCACGTAAGGCATTTACTTTAAGTAGAATTGCGGTAGATGTGAAGACTTGTCACAGATCGGGTAATAAATGAGATAGATGAGTGCGTCAAAGTTCTCTAAGCGTAATTTTGGACGGGGAATCCGATTTTGCTGGTACGAAGACCCTAGGCGAACTCTGAAGTGGGAAAAAAGGCCATTTTTACGTGGTTTGCACGAAAACGTGGTTTTAGAGTACACCTAGGGTCTTCGAACCGGCAAAATCGGATTCCTCGTCCAAAATTACGCTTAGAGAACTTTGACGCACTCATCTATCTCATTTATTACCCGATCTGTGACAAGTCTTCACATCTACCGCAATTCTACTTAAAGTAAATGCCTTACGTGATTGCAAAACTTTAGAAAGCTGCCATTTCCAAACTACTTGAGCTACAGCGGTGAAATTTCACACCAACTCTGACATCACTTGGGACAATATTTAGACTGAATATGGGGCGGAGACGGTCACGCGAAAGGTGGCTTATCTGATCTAAAACCACCCAGAAATGACGGTTTTTCAATTTTTGCAGCGCCACTGCTTTTCACGCGGCGTACACAAACTTTTTATCTCGTAGTATGATAGATTGGTCCTTTATCTATAAAATCCACCCATCGGATTGGCGAAAATCGATGCCGAACACCAAAACCCCAAGAAAAGTAAAAACCACTACAAAACCTGAAAAACAGTCATAACATCTGTTTGGGTTGTCCTATCAACAAACGGGCACCGGATTCATGTTCCTCGCGTGATTTTACATAAGATACCACATTTAGAGCTCAATCGAGTGCTTCGAGGCCTCAGAAAGGCGATTTTTCAATTTTGGCCATATTATGTGAAAAGTTGTCAGAGAAAACGAAAATTGCCCATAGAATCTGAACGGTGCATATTTCGGCCAAAAAAATTTGTGGCCTTTCTTAGACCCACAAGGACTACCTTTGACCAAAAAATGGAGGAAATCGGCATCGGTCGTGTTCCACGATCGGACTTCTTAAAAAAAATGCCTCAGTGTTTTTGGGTCGCAGCGAGTGCGTGCTTTGTTCTTGTTCCGTTCCTAAGTTCAATAATGCCGATGAATTTTTTCCTGTGTTGGTCGTGACTTCCACGGCAAGAACAGTGACCCGGTTTCCCAGGCCCGCCCGAGAAAAACGACCTTTTTTTTCCACGGTGGACCTAGGAAACCCGGACACTGTTTTTGCCGTGTTGGAAAACGGCCTGTGGTAATAGGGTACTTCGGAGAAGAGCTGTAACGGAAGTTGAGACGAGATCAAGAAGAACAAATGCCGAACTTGTGTGAATCTATAGGTTTGCGGAAGTAGCACAACGGCGACGCAGACGCTCATTCTCGAGAATTTCTCATATTTTGTTCTCCGCTTTCGTTCCAGCTTTTCTCCGAAGTACCCTATTCTCCGTGGCCCTCTTATCGATATTCTCCGCTGGAATTTTCAGTGTTCTCAATAGGACTGTGTGCAGTCTTCCAAAAAGCTGTAAGGTCCTACTCAGAATACTGTACGGTCCTCCTGGGAATATCGATTAGAGGGTTACGGGGGATCTTGGCGAAATGCCGAACAGTTTTTTCCGTACCGCCGGTTCTTCCTATTGGCGAAGGCATCTTCAAACGGAGTTAGGTTCAGGTGTCATCAAATGCTCGGCCTAGTCTTCTTCGGTCTGGAGCTTCGCGTATTTCATACAGTATGATTGCCAGAGGTCCCTTAAAATATTACACACATTATGTACTTTTTCGTGCGCAAGCTTTGCACGAAAATGAGCATGCTTCCCGATATGCACGGATTTTATGCGCATCGACGCAAACTTTTCTGCCTAGTTGCGCTAGATTCGTGCATTTCAGAACGCATGCTCAATTTTGTGCGGAGCTTGTGTACGAAACACTACATAGCAATTTGATGCGCACTTGTACTCTACTAACTGAAGTGTGTACTCAGTATGCATATACAGATGCATACTTATAAGTACACACCTACAGATGCATACCTAGCTGAGTACACATCTACAGATGCATACCTGTTAAGTATGCATCTGTAGGTGCACACTTGGCTAGTATGCATAAGTAGGTGTGTACTTGTCACCATATAAATGCCCAGTTTCAAGTACACATCTACAGATGCATACTTGGCTGAGTATGCATCTGTAGATGTGTGCTCAGCCAAGTATGCATCTGTAGATGTGTACTCAGCTAAGTATGCATCTGTAGATGCATACTGAGTACACACTTCAGTTTGTAGGGTGTCTCTATGAATTTTTGATGCGTATCAATGCATGCTCCAATCATCTTCCTGCATCAAATGGACACAATGGTGCATAGCATTTTACACTGCTTGTGTTCCTGTCTGAACATGCGTGGTTACACATCAAAGGGTTCCAAAGTGCGACCTTCAGTTCAGCGCTCAAAGGTGCTTTGTTTTGGCAGTAGGCGATTTGGAACGAAATCTCGTTGCCATGGTTGGTTAACGTTCAAGAGTCACAGTGCGTTCAAGGCCGTGTCGCGCAAGGGCGCACGCCACCTTCTCTCAAGACGCCGCAGGACCCTTGATTCACTCTTCTTCCTCGGGCTTGGTGAGTTTCTGTCGCGGCATTTGGTGCGCTTCGCCCCGATACGCGACACTAGCTTTACGACAGCACACAGAAATGCTATGTTTTCTCCGCGACTGGTGGACGCCACAGCAGCCGTCTCCTTCCTCTTGCCACGAGTGGTGGTGGTCGTGGTGGGGCGCTTGGTCGTCTCCTCCTCGCCCAGACCGAGAGCCCGGCGGGCGAGGCGCCGTTCGGCTGGAGGAAGGGTTGCCACTTCCTCCTCGCCTTACGAGCAAGACTCGGCAGCCACATGCTGCATTTGACCTCCTCCATGCTGCAACTACAGAAGCCAACACATTGATTAGAATAGGAAAGCCGATTTTAAAAAAAATCATCATTAACATGTGTTAGGCGAAGCATGGCGGTGCGGAGAGGGAGAGGAGGGGAGGATTCCCCCCCCCCCCCCCCCCCACCGCGCGGTGGTTCCGTGCTGCTTGCTACTCGTCATCCAGGTCGGGTTCGGGTACGCCAGAGTCGGGTGGCCCAGGATTCTCCCCGATCCTGACGCATCCCCAGCAGAACGTGAACTTGCTGATCACAGTGCCGCGACAGTGCCCGTGAACGGGAAACTCCGCCTGGAACTGCTCCATGTACATGTTCGACCACCAGAGACGGAGACAAAGCCATTTTTGCATTTCATTTCATTTTAATTCATAAATATCAATTAAAACTCTCTGCCATAGCATCACTGAAATGTACAACTTCAACTCACTTAGAGAGAATGCGGGCATTCGTTTTTGACTAACCAAACACTGAACAGTCAAATAAGGTCTGCGTCAGCAGGGCTTTCCTCTGACCAAATGACAACTTTTCAATTGAATCCCTGGTAAAATCACGACTACTCAGAGAGGTTTTCACCTCTCCTAACATTTGTGACTAAAAAGCAGCAACAAAGGCCTGGTCTTCAGTGACCTTATCCAAAGCAGTGCTGATAAGCTCCACCGCGCGGTGGTTCCGTGCTGCTTGCTACTCGTCATCCAGGTCGGGTTCGGGTACGCCAGAGTCGGGTGGCCCAGGATTCTCCCCGATCCTGACGCATCCCCAGCAGAACGTGAACTTGCTGATCACAGTGCCGCGACAGTGCCCGTGAACGGGAAACTCCGCCTGGAACTGCTCCATGTACATGTTCGACCACCAGAGACGGAGACAAAGCCATTTTTGCATTTCATTTCATTTTAATTCATAAATATCAATTAAAACTCTCTGCCATAGCATCACTGAAATGTACAACTTCAACTCACTTAGAGAGAATGCGGGCATTCGTTTTTGACTAACCAAACACTGAACAGTCAAATAAGGTCTGCGTCAGCAGGGCTTTCCTCTGACCAAATGACAACTTTTCAATTGAATCCCTGGTAAAATCACGACTACTCAGAGAGGTTTTCACCTCTCCTAACATTTGTGACTAAAAAGCAGCAACAAAGGCCTGGTCTTCAGTGACCTTATCCAAAGCAGTGCTGATAAGCTCAGTCAATCCTATGAAATTATCCCATACACTCTGCGTAAAGTTGACCGAAAGACCCCCTAACAATCTTGTCATTTTTACCAGTTTAAGTCCATCTGCCAGAAAATTCCTTTCAAAGCGAAGATTTAGAGGCAGAATTTTTAGAAGGCTTGGAAGGCTGGAAGGCGCAGACTTAGGCGGATAAGATTGAGATTTAGGAGGAGGCTTAGACGCCTTAGAAGCAGACTTGGAAACTGCCCGTGGCGTTGGCGCAGAAGGCGACGGTGAGGCGCTCCTTGATCTTCTTTCCGCCTTGGCCCTCTTCCCGGAGGGCAGTAGGTGCCAGTGGGCCCGTTAGTGCACGATATCATAGCAAACCTTGCATTTTTTCCTGACGGGTTGAGCTTTTGTATTTTGGTAGTACATGTCCATGTCCACACAGCACACACACACACACCATCCTTCTCTTCCGCTCTTCCCATCTCTTCTTTCATCCATTCTCTTCATTCATTCAGTCATTCTTCACCATTCATTCATCCACCTCCATCTCCTCGGCTTCGTCACATATCTTCTTTGGTCCCTCCTGTTGGAATCTGAAGAGCCTGTTGTTGAAGTTGGGCCAGCTGGAAGTCACGAGAAGAGACGAGGCAGAGGTTAGTGTAGCATTCAAAACCGTAAGCTGAGGTAATATGAGACGGTATAGTAACAGCCGGCAGTAAATTTACTTACAAGACGAAGAATAGTGATTTGTAATCATTGGCTCCCCCGCAAGCTGAACAAAAAAAATAAAAGATATACCATTTTAGAGCTTAACCAACCAAACTCAATTAATGATGCATATTCATGCCTGTTATCGTAATAACTCACACAATGTATGCGCGGGGTGCATGTGCCCTTGAAAACTACGGTGTGGGTTAATGCCGTTTTCTATGTCACATGGACAGACCACGCCATGATCCCCTTCAGTTCCTAAACAGCACAGTTCAAATAAATTATGTGTGCACATGTACATCAATCAGCCTGACATGTGTAAGCCTCATGACAGGAGTTATCCTTACCTTCAGCAGCTCTCTGACCCGTTGTGCCATTGATTTTGGACAGTTGCCCAGTTGCATGAAAGGTGCTCCCCTTAAGGACATTTCCACCTTGTAGCTCTTATCGGCATACACTGTCACTTTACAGTACCGCCCGAGATGAAACGCCCATCGGAGAACTGCCGGGGGCCACCCGGGTACTCCCCGGGAACACCTGGGGAACTACCGGGGAACACCCGGGGAACACCCGGGGAACACCCGGGGAACACCCGGGGAACACCCGGGGAACACCCGGGGAACACCCGGAGAACACCCGGAGAACACCCGGAGAACACCCGGAGAACACCCGGAGAACACCCGGAGAACACCCGGAGAACACCCGGAGAACACCCGGAGAACACCCGGAGAACACCAACTCCCGGGGAACTCCCGGGGAACTCCCGGGGAACTCCCGGGGAACTCCCGGGGAACTCCCGGGGAACTCAATTTTCGCCGGAAAACCACCGGGGAACCGCCTGAAGCTGCGCGCCGTACCGATTCGGTGATGCGGACGGGTGCGGACTTTGGGGAAGGGCTGGAGTGCTGACGTCCGGCGGCGGCCGAGAATGATGCCTTTGTCACTCTGACTCCACGTTCTGTCCGTTGTTTTGATCGGATGCTGACTTGGGATTCGTAAAGGTCAACACGAACACTGTTCAAACTTTTTAGTTTAAAATTGTAACTGGTAACGAACTAAGGGCGAGATGAACGGCGCGCAGGGCGACGGAAAGGGGTCCGTCGGGCTGTCGACACGCGTTGTCACGTGGTCGACACGCGCGTCGACCTGGCTTACCTACCCTGACCAGCGCAGGTGCTTCACATCCTTTTCAGTGGAAGAATGGCGTGAGTTACCGCTCTCAAAGCCTGACCAAGGGATAAAAAATGAACTGCTCTGCTCAGCAGGCAGCCTTGCCTATCCGTCCACCATTGAGTGCCCCGCAACTCGGCACTTTGCGGAAAGGGCACCCTTGAGTGCCGACGGAATGCCGCCTTGCGACTTTGACACCACTCTGCGTCCGTAAATTTGATCAGACACTAATTTGGTTGGCACCTTTGGATTCAAAAAGAGTCAATGCGTGTACTGATTTCGTTCGTTTATCGAAATCTGAACTCCCAACAAATCTTGCGCGACGGCTCTCTCGCTGCCTGCGTGCCTGGTGGCTGCGGATTAGATGCGAGCCGGCGCCAGGCAGCCTCCGTGTTAGGCCGCCCGCGCCCGGACCGGAGCCAGGCTAACGCGACGCGGAGCCCCTTTCCATCGCTGTGCGCGCCGTTCATCTCGCCCTAAGTTCGTTAGCAGTTGGGTCATTCTACAGAAATGTTACAATTTCGCAGTTAGAACCGTGAAAAATTAAAAGTTGTCCGATTTCATTCATATTGGGCTTGTTTTTCTTGTTTCGGCATGCAGAATGCGAAACAATATCAAGCGTCACACTTTTCGAGAAAAAAAAAATTTCCCCCTGAAATCATAGGGGAAATGTCTACGGAGTTTACATAAATTGACGTCCACGGAGTTTACATTTTGAAGCAAATACCTGGATTGTAGCCGAATGAGTTGGAACAGAAGACCGCGCATACACAGCTGACTAAAGGACCACCAAAGCATTGTTTTTATCCACATTTCGTAGGTTTAACGCACAGGGGATCCGCGGCAAATCGGGTACGGAGTTTACATACAAAAAAAATACGCGACCCCCTTTTTGAAATTTTGATACCAATCAGATGCTAGCCATTGGACTCACATCCCTCCAACTTGGTGACTAGATGTGTTTTTTCATCCGGAATCCATTGCAGCCTTCAGGTTGAGGCTGCTACTTCCCGTTTGTCTCCTGTAGTACCAAACTCGTTACAGTGCACATGTGGATTTTAGGGAAGGAAAAACTTCGGGACAAAAGTTAATTCTGTGCAGGCACAAAGCTTCAAACTTTGAAGGAAAGTCAGCGGGGTTAAGTTAAAGTATGAAAGTGCCTTAGCAAATAGAGCCGTCAGGAATGATTGTCCTGCGTCTCGTTTAGACATACGAGAGGCGCAAACTTAGTGAACTACGCATCGGGACAGCCACGGAGTTTACATTTTGCACCTTCCGGAGGCCACAGCCATCTGAAAACCTCAGAAACTTTAAACCCAATAGTGGATCATTTTGAAGCACAAAAAGCACCATCTCATCGCGCAAACCGCGTCTTTCTAAGACGAACCGTTTCGTCACAAAGGGGCAGGGACATCAAATTGTAACATTTCTGTAGAATGACCCATACTACTTCGTACGCGGTGGCTATATTACCCGTATATTACCTGTATATTACCATATATTACTTGCATATTACCACAATTAAGGGGGCAGTAGCGTCATTTGCACGTGTTTTGACGATTTTCGAACCTCCTGTTTAGACGTTAATATAAAGATAAGTATGAATGCCAGAGACAAACGGCAGGCACCATTTGAAAGATAGAAGTTTTTACAACATTTTCAAAAAAAAATATTTTGTTTTAGCATTGAATTAGGATGTTTTGTGTTCTATGCAAAAATGGTCTGCAAAATTACATGGTGTCACTGCGCGCACGATTGCAGCCAAAGTTTTTAACTTTTTACCAATCGGTAAAATGCATCTGAAAAAGCACGAAATTGCCCATAAAATGACCCTTGGGTTTCAATATTGGGCAAGAAAAACTATTGAAACGCTCATCTTCAACTTAAGATGGAAACGAACCACATTTTTTCTGGCCCAATATTAAAACCCAAGGGTCATTTTATGGGCAATTTCATGCTTTTTCAGATGCATTTTACCGATTGGTAAAAAGTTAAAAACTTTGGCTGCAATCGTGCGCGCAGTGAAACCATGTAATTTTGCAGACCATTTTTGCATATAACACAAAACATCCTAATTCAATGCTAAAACAAAATATTTTTTTTTGAAAATGTTGTAAAAACTTTTATCTTTCAAATGGTGCCTGCCGTTTGCCTCTGGCATTCATACTTATCTTTATATTAACGTCTAAACAGGAGGTTCAAAAATCGTCAAAACACGTGCAAAAGACGCTACTGCCCCCTTAAGCCCTTATAATACCCCTATATTTCTGTATACTACTTTGTATTACTTTATATTACACACATATTACCTATATTACTGGTAATATAAGTATACTCCCTCGTACACGGCCAAGGGAAGTTGCCGACCCCTCGGCCCTTCCCCAAAGCCCGCACCCGTCCGCATCACGATGAATCGGTAAGGCGCGCTGCCCTGGCCATTTCCGCAGCTCAAGGCGGTTCCCCGGTGGTTTTCCGGCGAAAATTGAGTTCCCCGGGAGTTCCTCGGGAGTTCTCCGGGTGTTCTCCGGGTGTTCCCCGGGTGTTCTCCGGGTGTTCTCCGGGTGTTCTCCGGGTGTTCTCCGGGTGTTCTCCGGGTGTTCTCCGGGTGTTCTCCGGGTGTTCCCCGGGTGTTCCCCGGGTGTTCTCCGGGTGTTCTCCGGGTGTTCTCCGGGTGTTCTCCGGGTGTTCCCCGGGTGTTCCCCGGGTGTTCCCCGGTAGTTCGCCGGTAGTTCCCCAGGTGTTCCCGGGAAGTACCCGGGTGGCCCCCGGCAGTTCTCCGATGGGCGTTTCATCTCGGGCGGTTGCCGAAGAAACGTCTCACTTCCTGGTCTCCATGATTTGTCATGTATTTGCTGATTCGCTGAAATACAGGTTGAAAGGACGTTAGATCACAAACCTTCTAGATGACAACATTTTACAACACAAACACGATCATGGCGTCAATGCCGTCACTGAGGGTGAGGCCATGACCAGGGCTGGTTCTGCAGAGCACTTGCCCGTAGGTCCACACCTCCATCTGGCACTCCCCAACAAAGATAGAGGTGTCATGAGGGACCACGCGGAGCATTGTTCCCTCGGTTGTTGGTTCCTGCGATAAGAAACAAAAAATGTCAACACTTGTTTAGTGTCATGGTACCAGCAGCGGAAAGAGTCAAAATGGAGAGAGGGCAGACATACCTCGTTGATGACACACCACTGCAGTAAATTTTCCTTGCAAGCTAATGGGAGGCCTACCAAGGCGCAGTGTCGTTCTGCATCTGAAAATAGATTTGCATTACATACCGCAGACAGGGAAAATAATAATAAAAGTACGGCAAAGTAATACACATCACCTTGACTTACCTTTCAAGTTATCCGCCGGAACCATGTGCCGCAGCAACGTCAAACCAGGCTTTGACGTTGCTTTCCTGATTACCTCCATGCCATTGGCCACACTCCGGTCGGTCATGAACTGCACCCGAAGGGCAGGCATGTCCTTATCATATTGGATCATACCCTCACGAACCATCTGAGAGAAAAATGACACAATTAGGGGACCTAACAACACCATGTGCCTTAATATGTCATACATATGGTCAAGAACTCACATGCCGGAAGTCAGCCAACAGAGGCCATGACTGTAAGAAGTCAGTGGGACGGGAGGCGTGTGCTAGCCTTCTCCTTGCCATCCGGGTGGCGGTCATCATGTCCCAGATGGAAGGGTCATCATGTGGCACCGTGGCCCACGAGCCTTTGATGTAATTCATGATGTGCTCGAGAAGGACATCTGTCAGGCCAGGATCGACCACCTGCAAAAACAAAATGCAATGTGACTAGTTTTGCAAACAAAAAAAAAGAATAAGGTTTTATTTATATTACAGAATATTATTCTGCCACTGTGCCACCGCAGCCCAAGGTAACAGACAGGCCACAGTGACGAAAGTTGATCATGTCACTCCACTAATAGGGAACATTAGTTTCCTCGCCAGTGTTGGAATTTTCTTCTTTGCCCGGAACTTCGCTTATTCCTTATGCCGTACGGCTTGCCTTTGGCGAAAGTGATTGTGTTTTTCGGACCCAGCGAGAGCGTGCTTTGTTCTTGTTCCGTTCCTAAGTTCTAAGCGAGCGCCGCCCCCAAAGAACAGAAAAAGGTCACGATGATGTCAAATGATTAGTGACAAGATGACATCATTGCCGACGGTCAAAGTTAGCGATTTTTGACGTCGAGTGCATGTCAATTGATATCCTTTTATTGAATATGATATCTTATGATGTGAATTTGACACAAAATACCGAGAAAATACCGCGTCAAATTCTAGTCATGAGGGGTCACTGATGCAGAGCGTGACTAAATTTTATCAATTTTAGCTCACTTGACGTCAATATGACCTTTTTCTGTTCTCTGGGGCCGATAAGGTTTTTCCCGTGTTGGTCGTGACTTCCACGGCAGGAACATTGCCCAGTTTTCCCAGGCCCGCCGTAAAAAAAAAATCACCTCTTTTTTCCACGATGGGCCTGGGAAACCCGGGCACTGTGTCGGAAAACGGCTTGTGGTAATATGGTACTTCAGAGGAGAGCTGGGACGGAAGTTGAGACGAAATCAAGAAGAACAAATGCCGAACTTTTTTTGAGGATATAGGTTTGCGGAGGCGGCACAACGCCGACGCAGAAGCTCATTCTCGTGAATTTTTACATTTGGTTCTTCTTAATTCCTTCTCCACTTCCATTTGCAGCTTTTCTCCGAAGTACCCTATACTCCGTAGCCCTCTTGTCGATATTCTCTGTCGGGCCTTACTGTATTCTCCGTAGGACTGTGTGCAGCCTTCCAAAAAGCTGTAAGGTCCTACTCAGAATACTGTACGGTCCTCCTGGGATTATCGATTAGAGGGTTACGGGGGATCTTGGCGAAATGCCGAACAGGTTTTTCCGTACCGCCGGTTCTTCCTATTGGTGAAGGAATCTTCAAACGGAGTTAGGTTCAGGTCTCATCAAGTGCTCGGCCTAGTCTTCTTCGGTCTGGTGCTTCTCGTATTTCATACAGTATGATTTCCAGAGGTCCCTTAAAATATTACACACATTATGTAATTTTTCGTGCGCAAGCTTTGCACAAAAGTGAGCATGCTTCTCGATATGCACGGAATTTATGCGCATCAACGCAAACTTATGTATCTAGTTACGCTAGATTTGTGCATTTCGATACGCATACTCAGTTATGTGCGGAGCTTGGGTTCGAAACACTACATAGCAATTTGGTGTGCACTTATCCCTTTGAATTTTTGATGCGTATCTATGCATGCACAGATACGAAAGTAAACTGTGCAATCATCTTCCTGCAACAAATGGACACAATGGTGCACAGCATTTTACACTGCTTACGTTCGTGTCTGGACATGCGTAATTACTCACCAAAAGGTTCCAAACTGATTAGTGCGAACATCAGTTCGGCGCTCAAAGGTGCTTTGTTTCGACAGTAGTCGATTTGGAACGAAATCTCGTTGCTATGGTTGGTTAACGTTCAAGAGTGATAGTGCGTTCAAGGCAGTGTCGCGTGAGTGGCAATTTCTCTCGACCCGTAAACAGAAAAAATTCCACATACGTGGTGTGTCATCCCTGCTAAAGGAACGAAACAACAAAAACCGACAAGAAACAATACGACCTTAAGGTATGTAGCCGTGTTCAGACGCGGACGGCGAGGGGATGATCACTGTCTCATGGCACGGGGACTTCATGGAAGTCCTCATGGTCCGATGAAGACGAGTGGTCGGTCAAGGCGTCCGCCAGCTGCTGCCCGAGCTGCTCCAGGTCCTCCGCCGACTCGTTGAGCTCCGCGTCGACTTGCGCCATGACCTCCTGGTGGCGCTCAAAGAAGGGAACGTCCCGCAAACACACACAAATATGTGTTAAAAGTTCCGAAGTAGCAGGAAATCACACAACTCATATAGTCAATAGGGCACCTCGCCCCTTCTGAACACCCTGCTGAGTTCATAGAGCGGCTGTTTTTCAGCTTCCCGGTCCGTCAAGGCGACCCCGGCATTGCGGCAGAGTATGGACAGGGCCTCTCTGATGGCCGCCCGCAGATCCTCCGAGGAGGCGAGCTTCCTCTCGAAGAGATCCTCCACCGAGTCCGTGTGGAACGGACCCCGAGCACCACGGGACTGGACTGCCCCGGGGAAGGCTGCTGCTCGGTCCGGATCCACGTTTTGGTCCCGGTGGAGGCCCGTGGCGTAGTGGTCGGCTACCTTGCATGTGAGAAGTTTGCCACAGATGAGGCACATGTGGAGGCCCTGTTGGTGCTCCCTTCCACACGGCTCATCGCATGGAACTGTACTCAAACAATAGAAAGGACCGTCGTCATATGACATACATAAACGTAT